CTTTCTGGGGACTAAATTATAAGGTGGTGGTAGGTAAAGAAATGAAAAGATTTCTGTAATATTCCAGGTATTAGATGTGCATCTTAACCATGTCAATGGCAGTGAGATGGGAGGGAAAGGGTCAGGTTCACCACAAAGGATGCTGAAGAGCAGCTGGCCACACTGAGGGCAAAGAGAGAATGTGTACGTGTACACACGTCATGGCGACTTTTGGAAATGTGCCCCAACCTCGAGACACTTGATTACAATCTGATTAAAGGTGTATGTCTGCACATATATGCATGCAGAAATATAATAATATCTATTTATCATCTATCATCTGTGACTCTACAGTATAGCTATTATCCTTCTAAAATGACCACATTTTGAGGTCACTATATCTCTGCAATCTGTAAAACGCATGCTGCAATCCACTGCCATCAGAGAAAAGATAAGCAGACACCTGCTAGCAGACACCCTAGCAGACACCAGAGACTGAGAATACACAGCACTGTTTCACTATTTGTCATCTTTAGTTAGACTCCACGAGTCCTACCATTTCCACTGAGTGATCTTGATATTTGGGGTGCAATTTTTACCCATTTATTTGTGTTTATTTGTATACTCATAAACACTGGCAAAATATAAAGACTCGTTTGCCACAAGTAGTTGTCTAAAAACTGAAAAAAAAGCTTCTTGCCAAAATATGGAGGATCATTTTAATCCATTTCTTTGCATTCATTTCTTCAAAAAGTTATCATGGAAACAAGGGCAAAATTACAATAACATTGCCAAGGTGAATTCAGGTTTCAAATTAGACTAGAAGCATGGGAATCCTGGGCAACACCTACAGAGAAGCAGGGGTGGCTAAGGTGGGCTGCCACCCTCAGTTGTCTGCATTGAGCAGGGGAGGTTGGTTTGAGTGGACGGGTTTTGTTTATTGGGGGTAAGTGCTAAAAAGGAAGAGGAAATAGAAAGTGTTAACATTTATAGATATGAATATTGTTGTGGGAATTGGTGAGAGATTCATCAATGAGGCAGTACAATAGACACTCTGCCATGTACTAATAACCTTGTAATTTTGGGTAATTTCCTGAATTCTCACTAAGCCTCAGTTTCTTCATTTTTAATAGCAAGGCTATTTAGTTCCTATGTTTTATAATCTGTAAGGAGAAAGTGAGCTGATACACATGCCAGTAGCTTTAAAGCATAGTTACACATTAATCTCTGTTACTAAGGAGATCATTTCATCATTGAGACCAAAAAAGAATTTATTGCCTCCAAAATCCTTCTCTGTATTTCTTTCTCCTTGGCCACCCACACCCTTGGAATGGTATCGATCTTTCTTCCCTTGGAGAAAATAGCAGACGGCACCACGGAGCCGCAGAGGATGCAGATGCAGTACTTGAAGGCTTGGTGGAATGTCTGGTTATCCTTGGTGACCCCACTCCAGGAAGCTCTTTCCAAGTGGCTGACACTGACAGAGCACTGAGGGGGGTGCAGATGTCATAACAAATAGCCAGGGAATTCTTACAAATCTCTCTTAATCCAGTGCCCCTCCAACTATCAGATGACCTCTAATATCCATGGAAATAATAACTCTGAGCCGGGGGGCTGTGCTGACACTTTCGTCCCAAGGCGACACAGCTGCACTAAATCATCCATCACGAACCTGACTCTGCTTCCTCCAGCTGTGTCCAGTGCACTACCGGGGAGACTCTGGGGGCTAGAGAAAAAGAACTTCAGATGGCCTAATGCTTCCAGTGAAAGCAAACATTATTTGAGAATATTTTGGAAGTTACACTGAACTTGTTGCTTTATAGAAGTGGGAAAAAAAAAGATATTGACATTCTGAAGCCCAGAACTATTTTTTAACAAGCTAGAAAATACTGAAAAGCAGGTACGACAGTTTTCTCCCGAGAATGCAGTGTCGTTGGAATGTGCTCTATTTTTTCCCAGGGCGTATTTGAGTAAAATATGTGCACTGAAATTTCAGGTCAAATCCTAATGCAGAAATAATCCAAAAAGATGGCAGATTTATAAGGTAGGCAATTTTTATTTATTTTCCTATGTGGATTCCCCTAAGAGCTCCAGTGTGCTCCTCGTTACTGATGGTTTCTCCTTGAACAACCATACCTGTGAGTTTGCAGCAACATAAACGCCAGGCTATAGACTTATCTGAATTGAGCACCAGTCATCATTCTCCTTTGTTGTCGACTCAGGGTGCTTTGAAACCTACTGGTGCGCTACCTGCTTGGTAATTAATAATTCATAATTAAACTGGTCATACAAATAAACCCACACGAGTGTAGGCTTTCTTTGTTATCCTTCCTTTTGTTTGAGGATTGAAAATAAAGCTAGCAGGAAAGGTTTAGGGGTCTAAAATCTCCCATTAAAAGCTTTGTCTCCCTTCATTGTTAGATTTCTGCTCAATCCATTCTCGACTCTTTCCTTCGAAAACGCATTCAGCATGCCCCTTGTCGCCTGTGCTCGACACTGAAGAAATCCAGATGAGTGTGACGCCAAGGTTCTCCTGGAGTGCCTCACTTGCTCAGTGGAGAGACAGGCATGAAACAGGCAGCTGCGATATGGCACGCTCCGTCCCCTCTCCCGCGGCAGCTCTGGACCAAATGCAGCAGAAAACATGGCTGGTTCTGCTTCCAGGATGTTGGGAGACATTAAGGAAAACTGCAGAGGGGAGGGGCCATGGGAACAGCCCTCAAAGATGAGTCCTGTCTTGTAACGGGAGGGGAAAGCAGCAAAAGATGGCCCAAGTGCTTGAGCCCCTGCACACATGGGAGTGTTATTCTTTATGGGAGTTTGGGAGTTGTTATTCTTTTATGTGGAGAGCAGGGGCCAGTTTAGGCAATGTGTTGTTTAGTAGGAACAGTTTTAGGCAATGTGTTGTTTAGTAGGAACTGTGCTTGGAGATGAGGCTTGCCAGTGAAGTGTGAGCCTCCGGGGGGTTTTAGGGTGAAGTAAAAAGGCTCCGGTGTGTTCAAAACTTGGTAGGCCATGGTGAGATCAAGAAGGAGGGGAGGGGTTTGCTCAGATGATTAGGGGAAAGCTCACTCTGGCCCCAGGTAGGAGATAGTTTGGAGGGACCCCAAGATGGAGACAGCAGGTGAAAAGTGGTGCAGTGGGTTAAAGCCTTGGCCTGAAGCGCCGGCATCCCATTTAGGTGCTGGTTCTAGTCCCAGCTGCTCCTCTTCCGATCCAGCTCTTTGCTGTGGGCTGGGATAGTAGTAGAAGATGGCCCAAGTCCTTGGGTCCCTGCACCCACGTGGGAGACCTGGAAGAAGCTCCTGGCTCCTGGCTTTGGATCGGCGCAGCTCCAGCCATTGCGGCCATCTGGAGAGTGAACCAGCAGATGGAAGACCTCTCTCTCTGTCTAATCTCTCTCTGTAACTCTGTTTTTCAAATAAATAAAATAATTCTTTAAAAAAAAGAAAAATTTATCTTACATTTTTGTCTGCAAAGCAGTAAGAAACTCAACTGGAACAAAAGCAATGAGAAGTAAGAGATGAGATGAGATCTAGGTAGTTTTCTGATACTCAGCTTTGAGTGAAACTGAGAATCAAGACCTAGAGGTGGAACAAGATAAACTTTAAGACCAGGGATCAATTGTGGTTTGTAGTGTTCAAGACAAATAGACATGGTCTCAGCCCATGAGAGGAAAACAGTTGTTTGTAAAAGATTTTATTGTTGCTGTGGTCACCATCATCATCATATTGTCTTCATCATCATCATCATCACCATCACCATCTCAATAGTTAATAGTTCCTGAGTTCTTACTTTACACTAGGGATTCTGCTAAGTCATTAACAAGCAGCACGGTAAGTTCAGCTGCTACTGTCATCTGCATTTCACAATGAGGAAACCAGAGCTCGAAGAAGGAAAGGCATTTACCTTGCTCAAGATCCTACAGGAGGTAAGGGCTTGAGTGGAGACTCAACCTTGGTCAGTGGGATCCAGAGACCCACTCTGAACCACTAGGATACAATACTGTTCAAAAATACATTTCAGCGGCTGCTGCTGTGTCAGGGTGGGTTAAGCCCACACTTTCAACACAGGCATCCCATATGGGAGTGCTGTTTCAAGTTCTGGCTGCTCAACTTATAATCAGGTTCCCAGCTAATGCACCTGGGTGGGCAGCAAAAGATAGCTCAGGTGCTTTGGCCCTGCCTCCCACATGGGGGACCTGGATGGAATTCTTGGCTCCTGGCTTTGGCCTGAACCAGTCCTAGCTTTTGCAGCCATGTACGGAGTGAACCAGTGTATGGAACTCTCTCTCTCTCTCTCAAATAAGAAAAATAAATCTTAAAAGCATACATTTCATAGTACAATCTTACAGTTACAATTGTAGCAGGAAAATCAGTGAATTGTTCATTGGGCCCAGGAAGAAAGAAGCTAACTCTGACTGAGGGGGTCTGACAATTTTACTGAGTTGTGAAAGATATGTTTTAAGGCATGTGCAGAAATGCTTAGGTTAAAAAATGAGAAAGAAAAGAATTCCAGAGTGGGGCAGCCTGTGTAGTTGAAGAACCTGAAGGAGTATGCATTCTCAGGAAGTGCTAACCAGCCCAGGGTGGCTGGCATTGGGTGTGAGATACTGGAAAAGGGACTACCCCTGGTTCTGTGCAGAGCCCACTGATCTCACTAAAAGCAAGGAGCATGTGGATGGATAGGAGCTCTCGGAAGACTTGGCATCTTTCCTTTGGTTTCACCTTTCTGTCAACGTGCAGTTAATGCCTCTGTCCTCAGTCCTTTTGCGCTCTGCTCAAATACACACTTGCCTCCTGCTTCCACGGGGTATTAAACAGAGCTCCTACCATCAGGAATTGCACTGTAAATGCTGTCAATTGCCATATCCTTGGCGGATGAAGCAAGGTGAAATTTATTGTTGAGAACAATACTCATCATAAAAACATACTCTCTGCTAGTACTTGTAGACTAGTGAGCTCCTGTTCAATGCTAAGAATAATTCTCAGAGACTTCTTGTCCCCTCTGTTTTCTTACAGTTCCTCCCCAGATCATGAATATCTCCTCAGACATCACCGTGAATGAGGGAAGCAGTGTGACCCTGTTGTGTCTTGCGATTGGCCGACCAGAGCCAACTGTGACATGGAGACATCTATCAGTCAAGGGTAAAGTACTCACTTGTAGCAGGTTGTCAGGGTTACAGTGGTAAAGTTTTGATTCATATGCACAGCAGAACTTCAGCAATCAGAAACCAGTACTGTACTGGCAATACTCACAGACGCCAAGTGTTCCATTCCCAAAGACTGCACTTCTATAGAGGACATTTCAAGAGCTATGTTTTCAATCCTTCATTTGACCTCAGAAAGCTTTTATTGTGCAAAGTATAGACGACAAAAAAGCACAATAATAACTTCCAATAAGGCACTGATTTCTCCAAGTGAAGATGGATGTATCACTTGTTTAATGTCTCTCAAAGTAGAGCACTAGGGGATTGGGTGGCTGTTTTGTGCTACCGTACTTTTAGGAAGGACTGCATGCTGTGTATATGGAGCCACATCTGTTGTACCTATACATACATAGTTCATTCTTAACAGAGGAAGCATGATAGAAATGGCCAAGTGCACTGAGTTATGCTTGTGTTGAGAACTCTGTAATTGACATTAAAATGGTAGGTATGCTTTTTGCCAGCTCAGTGTGAAGGGAGCCAAAAGGACAGTGGACTATATCCCCTTGAAACTAAAATTTGCTCCACAATGAACTTCAAGAGATGTCCACAGAGGCCCCTGTTGTATTTATGCTGTTGCTAGAAAATTATACAAGACGTATGTGCTTCTTTGGGCACTAGAAAATCCAAACATAAAAACCAGTGAATAGGAAAATGTGTAGAGTATGCCTATGTGTGATATAAAAATAATATAGATCTAGGATAAAATGTAGAAATAAATCTTAATAACCTCCAACAAGACAAAGATTTGATAGCACACAGAAAGCCCTAAATATGAATGAAAGAGAAATGATAAGCATATCTTTGACTGAGTTTTCTAGGGCTATCATTTTAAAAAGTACCAAAACTTCATAATTTACATAACAGAGATGCATTTTATCACATTTCTGGATGATCCAAGGCCAAGGCGAAGGTGCTGGTAGAGTTGATTCCTTCTCAGTGCTATGAGGGAAACTCAGTCCACAGTCTTCTTGTGGTTTTCCTGCTATCTTTGACATCTCTTGACTTGCAGGTGCACTACCCTTGCCTGCACCCTCACATTGCACTTTCCCTGAATGTGTCTCTGTCCATAGCTCCCCTTTTCATAAGGACACAAGCCATTTGTACTGGGGCTCATGCTAATCACAACATTTTCATTTGAATACCTCTTTAAAGACCCGGTTTCCAAATAAGGTCACATTTCAGGGACTAGGGGTTAGAAATTCAAGGTATCATTTATGAAGAGATGCAATTCAACCTCTACCAGCTTTATCTAGATTTAAACCACCATTAACAATAAAGAAAGACAAGCCACAGACTTGGAGAAAACGTTTGTTATGCATATATCTGACACAGACTTTACATTCAGTATACTTGAAGAATTCTCAACACAATTCTAACAATTCACCTGAAAATCGAGAATGTAGATAGACAATTCCAGAAGACACACCAATGGAAGTCAGCATGGGAAGAAATGCCCAGGATCTTTGTCATAGAAACAAAGGGTAAAATCGTAACCAGATGCCAATATACTCTCCATGAAAGGACTAAATGAAAAAATACCGGCAACACCAAGTGTTGGTGTGGGAGTAGAGCAAGGGAAATTCCTATACATCCACTCTGGGAATGTAAAATGCCATAAGCACCATGGAAAACACTGGACATTTTGTTATAAAGTTAAACAGACACTTGACATTAAGACCGGCAAGTCCTTTCCTAGGTGTTCACTCAAGATAAATGGAAGGATATGTCCATAAATGTGCGCTGTACACAAATGTCTGTAGGCAGCTTCCTTCATAATAGCCTCAAACTAGGAAGAACCCAAACTACCACCAACAAGCAAGTGGATACTTTGGGGCACATTGGAACAGCAGAAGGAAATGTAAAGGACCAATAATTGATACACATGATGAAATACATGACTCTCAAGAACAGTACTCCCAGGAAAAATAAGTCAAACATTTCAAAACATGCTTACTGTTTGATTTTCATTTATATGAAATTCTAGAACAGGCAAAACTAATCTCTGGGAACTGGGATTGAGTCAGTGGTTACCTAGGATAGGAATTTAGGGAGAAGTGACTATGAAAGGTATAAGGAGTATTTGGGAATGATTAAAGAGTTCTATATCTTGACTGGTGGTTATAGGGATGTTAAAATCATAAAATGAGTAAGATCATACACTAAAAATTAGTGGATAGTGCTACATGTAAAGTAAATATCAATACAATTTATTTTTTTTTTTTTTGACAGGCAGAGTGGACAGTGAGAGAGAGAGACAGAGAGAAAGGTCTTCCTTTTGCCGTTGGTTCACCCTCCAATGGCCGCCGCGGCCGGCGCGCTGCGGCCGGCGCACCGCGCTGATCCGATGGCAGGAGCCAGGAGCCAGGTGCTTTTCCTGGTCTCCCATGGGGTGCAGGGCCCAAGCACCTGGGCCATCCTCCACTGCACTCCCGGGCCACAGCAGAGGGCTGGCCTGGAAGAGGGGCAACCGGGACAGAATCCGGCGCCCCGACCGGGACTAGAACCCGGTGTGCCGGCGCCGCTAGGCGGAGGATTAGCCTAGTGAGCCGCGGCGCCGGCCTAAATATCAATACAATTTAAAATGTAAATATAGAAAGATGTAGGTAACAGGTGCCTTCATTTCATTCCCTAATTTGGAACATTAATTACGTCAGTAGCACTTACTAAATAAGAGAGTGGGTTTGTTACCAGGGGCATGATTTAGGCTTTCGCAGTTTATCTCTATAGAAATTGAGAACATTCATTTCAGCCCCTGCCTGGTTATATAAAAGATAGGCTAATAAATGTCCATTCTTTGTGTAGAGACCTTAGATATCGAAACTGAAAACATCAGTATTATAAAGTAATATTAACAAGAATATCAAAATGTAGGGGGTGCCTCACAAAGCTCCCTTTTCATATAAACACAGCAATAGTGTATGTGCCCAAAGACAGGGGCCCATGGGAATTTTGTCCAAAAGTCAGGGAGAATTTTGGACTTATATTATAACACAATTATTTCCATCCATCAAACCAATTTTCTACGTTATTTAGAAAAGTCAGATATATTTATAAATGCTTGAAATCCCAGAATGTACTTACTTGATTCTAAATACACAGTTCTCTAGGTCTGGAAATATTTTAAAAGGCATTTTGGCTTTGTGTAACTGTTTTGAAGAAATTTTCTATAATGTTACACAGGTAACCCTTTTAAAATAGGGAGATTCATTCATATTCTCAAGCTTTTATGTAATGTAATAGTTGCAATTCAGCCTCAATAAAAGCCCAGAAAATTCTAAAACTAGGTGAGCCCTCTCCCCTCCTCTCTCCTCTTAAATCTTACAAGCCTTGTCCCACCTTGAAGTTGCCTTGGTTTTTCTGCTAGCCCTGGACTTCTCTCTGGTAGCTTTCTTCTCTGCTATGGCCCTCCCCTCCCTCAATGACATTTAAACATTTAAACTCAAGGCATTGTTTCCCAAATGTGAAAAGCTCTGGAACCTGGAGGGTTTGCAAGTTGAAAATTTGCAACTGCAGGTGGCTAGCAATGTTTATTTTTAGAAGGATCTTCCATCTCACTTGGAGTTAGGGAGTTGTTTTAAAGGCTTAGAGGAGCATTCAATAAAACTTGACATCAAACAGCATTTTTAGAAAAATTTGCTGGTTAGTTCAGCATGGAAGAGTAAGAAATAAAGGTTGCAATGACATTTCCTTTGAAATTCCAATAGGATTACATGGGAGGATTTAGCTCACTGGACAGCTGTGTTTCCGAAATGCTAATATAGTATCTGAAATGTATGGCTTAAATTTAGGCATCTTATATTACAGGAATGAATACATAAGCTTTCATTTCAAAAAGTATCTTTTAATGAGCAGATTAGTAAAGATTAAGGATAGCAATCACACTTATGATTTAAAGTAACAGTCTGAATTTATGCTACCAATCCATAGAAATGATAGATAAGAGGTAAAAATAGATGAACGAATAGATCTATTATCACAGTGGAGAATAATAATGCTAAACTTTGCTGGATCGGGAACTGTGAAGAATCCCTGAAATATAAAAGGTAGATAGATACAAGGAAGGAAAAATACAGCTTAAAATGCAAGAATGCAATATCTACTTGAAATGGCAGACAATTAAAAATTTTCTCTCACGGTTTCCCATAAGTGCATTGGTAACCGTTTAGTGCTGGTGTGCATGCGAGCAGGCAAAGTAGCCTCTACCAATACCTGTGGTGTAAATTACTCCCCTTGCTTCTTCTTTCCTGGGAGCCTCTTTGAAATAGTCTTGCTTTGCATACTCATTTTCTCATTAAAGAAAAAAAAAGTAAGTCCTTCTTTAAAAAGTAAGGAGAGGGCCACAGTGGGTTAAGCCCAGGTGAGTCCCAGCTGCTCCACTTCCAATTCAGCTCCCTGCTGATGTGCCTGGGAAGGCAGTGGAGGATGGCCCTGGTCCTTGGGCCCCTGTACCCACATTGGAGACCCAGAAGAGTCTCCTGCTTCCTGGCTTTGGCCTGGCCTAGTCCCAATTGTTGCAGGCTTTTGATGAGTGAACCAGAAGAAAGCAGATCTCTCTTTCTGTCTCTTCCTCTCTCTAATTCTGCCTTTCAAATAAATGAATCTTTAAAAAAAAAATAGGGAAAAAAGTCTGAAGACTCCCCAGGCTTTTCTCATTTCCAGATTGATTATGCAACCAGAGATCCCCAATCTCCACAATTTCTTTCGCAATATTGAAAGTGTGCAGGATTCCTGGAGGACATCTCCCTCCCTTCAGAGAAAGCTGGGGGTTTTATGGGATCACAATTAAGTGTAGTGAACATCTCCAAGTATTGTTCTAACCACATGTTCATATGGGGTTTTGCGGTTGGCATGCAAACTGCTGAGCATTGGACCATGTATTTCTTCTTATATTTGGATATTAAAAACCATGCCTAATTGTTTTCAATACCAGATAATGGC